GGTGCATGAAATTTGTGCACTGGAGGAGGAGAGGGGGGAGAGCGGGTCTCTCAGCAGGGCCTGCGCCCTCTCGCAGTCCGGGAGCCCTCGAGGGATGTCCAACTGATGGTAGTCAGACATCCTTAGCGCTGTCGCAGAGACCGGAGAGGCTCCCGCCACCTGCCACCGCTGCTACACTAGCTAGGCATGAGCCTGGCTTCTGGCTGAGTGGTGCTCCCCCTGTGGGAGCGCACTGACCACCAGGGGGGAGCTCCTGCATTGAGCATCTGCCCCCTGGTGGTCAGTGCACGTCATAGTGACCGGTCAGTCTACCGTCCGGTCAATTTGAATATTAGCCTTTTATTATATAGGATAACCATATTTAGCATGATTAATAACATTCATTCTAAAATATCAAATTATTTTACAAGTAAACGCATATATCAGCCACCAAGAAACTAATCTCTTGAACTCTTTCAATGTGGGAACAATTTGACCCTAGAGTCACACAACTGCCTGTAGATGTCACAACAGAACCCTTGAACAAAGCATTTTAACCTGTTTTCTCTTAGACAGTGACTTCTTCATGAGCTCATCTTCAAACAGCTAAACTGCAATATTATGGCTCATGCATTTTCAGTATCAAAGCCTACAATAAATGGTTGTGCATCCCTAAGCAGTCTTTAGAGAACCACGGTTTCATGAGTGTGACATCCAAGAGTGCTTTACATGATGCTGAGAGACAAACTCCTCAAGATTCCAACTTACTCCTTCATAGACGGGATCAGTCCAGCTGACACTCTGATGCACTCTATTCCACTACATCGTACTGATGCAACATTCTTGGACCAAAAGATAAAGATCACAGTTGCTGATAATATACTTGCTCTGTTTCATAGACTGCAAAAAAATCCTTCCAAAGGGCAACATTTCAAATATAATATTCTTCCCTGGACACTGAACAGTAATTTCAGTTATAACTGACTGCTTGGTTAACACTTGGGTCAAATCCCAGAACAAAACTTTTTTTTAAATAAAATTGTTTATGAAATGTTGTAGGTTAAGACTATCTACAGACCTATTTAGACATAGCCAAATGGACCAATTTATGACTAGATAACATGAAAAATGTCGTTGATTAGCCTAGAATAGCAACATAAAAAATTCTGAATTGTAAGGCAAAGCAAATGATATGCTACAATACACTTCAGAAAGGAACTGAGACCACTTGGGGAATGAGTCAGTTACAGTCATATTTTCCAATATCTTAGTTATTAAGCCTTTCTGTTCAGAAACTTAATTTTACCTCTTAGAGTTCTCTCTAAAATACACCACTGTGGTTCCTGCCTTTAAAAATAGCACATCAAGAAGGTATGTTCTTTTCTTAATAGTTATCATTATGAACATTAGCCAGAGATATGGTAAAGAGACAGCCAGTAATGTAGATTTACATAATATAGAATAAATCTGCACCAATGGCTATACCAAATTTCATTTCCTTTAAAAAAAAAAAAACTGCCAGTGATACCTTAGTTTTTGTTCATTTACAAATTTTCCATGAAAGTATAATAAAACATAGGAAACTGTATAATATCCTATGCAGTAGGCTGTAACTACCTTTTTTAAAATTAAATAGGAGCTGAATCCTGAAGCCATCCTCCTCCAAATGTTTTCAATAACCTATGGGAAAAAATCAACTTTTCCCCCATTACTTTCAATGACATTCAGCTCATCCCTGAAAACTTTACCCAATTTATTAACTAGCTGCTTACCCCTCCGCCGCCCCCCCCCCCACACACACACACTCTTATTTCTCCCTTGCACAAAGTTTGTTTACAGAGTGTCTCTTACTTAAAAAATATGCAAAGACATGAATGGGGGGAGACATAGTCTACACATTTTCATTTCACTAAAAACAGAAAGAGGACAAGACATATCTGCTAAACGGGCATCAGGTGTCAGTTTTCTCCAAGTCCCACTTGATATTCCACTTTGAAGAGAATGCCATACCTAGGCAACACTATTATGAAATGATTCCAAGTAACACATGGTATCTGGATAGGATCAATTTTCTCATACTTCTATAATATTTTACATTTTAAAAATTTCTTATACAGAAATTAAATTAGGTCAAATCTGCAATTGAGATGGAGGACTAATAGAAAGAGTTCCCCCTAAAAAGTACATATAGACCCCTAGACGGCTTGGCTCAGTGGATACAGCATGTTCAGGAGATACCAATGTGTCTCGCACATTGATGTTTCTCTCTTTCCCTCCCTCCCTCCCCCCCTCCCTCTCCCCCCCGCTCCTTTCCTCTCTCTCTCTCTCCCTTCTTCCCTTCTGCTCTTTCTAAAAACTGATGGAAAAATAGCCTCGGTGGAAAAATATCCTTGGTTGAGAATTAACAGAAAAGAAAAAATGTTAGCTACCAGCCCTGGCTATGTAGTTCAGTTGATTGAGCATCGTCCTGTGCACCGAATGGTTGCTGATCTGATTCCCAATCAGGGCACATACACAGGTTGCAGGTTCGATCCCTGGTTTGGGGTGCTATGGGAAGCAACCGATCGATGTTTCTCACATCGATGTTTCTCTCTCTCTAAAAATCAAATTAAAAAAAAGAATCAACCAATGAATGCATAAGTGGAACAACAAATATATGTTCCTCTCTCTCAAATAAATAAATCAACTAATCTGCTACTAAATGTCAGGTTTAAATCCAGTGGCAGAGAATAGCTGTCATCAACAAATGACAAGTGCTGGCGAGGATGCTGAGAAAAAGGAACCCTCTTGCTGGTGGGAATGCAGACTGGTGCAACCACTGTAGAAAACAGTATGAAGTTTCCTCAAAAAATTAAAAATGGAACTCCCATTTGACCCAGAAATCCCACTTCTAGGAACATATCCCAAGAAATCAGAAACACCAATCAGAAAGAATTATATGCACCCATATGTTCATAGCAGCACAATTCACCATAGCTATGATTGGAAACACCTAAGTGCCCATCAGCAGATGAGTGGATTAAAAAACTGTGGTACTGCCCTGACGGGTTTGGCTCAGTGGATAGAGGGTCGGCCTGCGGACTGAAGGGTCCCAGGTTTGATTCCGGTCAAGGGCATGTACTTTGGTTTCGGGCACATCCCCAGTAGAGGGTGTTCAGGAGGCAGCTGATCGATGTTTCTCTCTCGTCAATGTTTCTAACTCTCTATCCCTCTCCCTTCCTCTCTATAAAAAATCAATAAAATATATTTTTAAAAAAACAAACTGTGGTACATCTATACAATGGAATGCTACACTGCTACAAAAAAGAAGGAACTCTTACCATTTGCAACAGCATGGATGGACCTGGAGAGCATTATGCTAAGCGAAATAAGCCAGTTGGAGAAAGATAAATATCACATGATCTCACTCACTTGTGGAATGTAATGAACAACATAAACTGATGAACCAAAATAGAGCCAGAGAAAAAAATATTTTAGAATATAATAGAAGTAATCCTGATATTTGCAGATTTTTAATATTTCCTACAACTTTTGTGATACTATACTATGTTAATACAGTTTTGGTAATATTATTATATTTAAAATCTTTTTTCTTGAACTATTAACTTTTATTGCATGTAATATATTTAAAATCGCTTTTCTTGAAATACTAATGTTTATTGCATGTAACAATAAATAAGTAAATCCAGTGGCAGAATAAAAAAAATTGTAAATATACAAAGTTGAAGCTCAGAATAAATACTTTTTTTAACATAAAGAAAAGTGTATTTACTTTATTATTATTATTTATTTTAATCCTCACCCAAGGATACTTTTTCCATTTTTTTAGAGAGAGTAGAAAGGAGGGGAGAGACAGAGAGAGACACATCGACTGGTTGCCTCCTGCACACACCCCGACCAGGGGCCGGGGATTGAGCCTGCAACCGAGGTACATGCCCTTGACTGGAATCAAACCTGCAACCCTTCCGTCCAAGGGCCAACACTCAAACCACTGAGTCAAACTGCCTAGGGCAGAATACTGGTAAATACTTTTTAATAGAAACAAAGTTTATTCTAAAATGCCCTTGCTCGTTCCATAGCCTTATGTTATCTAAAGTCCTGGAAAAATATAAACCAAGTCCTAATATAAACAACATAAATGAATCAGTTATTATAGATTGTTAAAATCTATAGTATTATAGATTCAAATATCTTCCTTATTGAATCATATATAGATGGTTCACTTTATCTAATATTAGCATATACTTATATATTTCTGTCCTAGAACAAAATAAAAACTTGAGAAATTAGTTTCAACTGATAACCTAGTTTACTATATTTATTACTGCACAAATTAATGCCCTGTCTTGTGTATCTGATCGACCTTTGTCTAATCACTGGGTTGTACACCTGAAATTAATATTATATGTCAACTGTAATTGAAAAATAAAAAATAATTTCAAAAAATCAATTTTAAAAGAAGAAAACAATAATGAAACAAAATGTAAAAATGTCTCTCTACCCACTGTCACCCTCAATAAAAAGTATTTTCCAGCAAAAGTTTTAAAAAAAGAAAGCTTTTCTTCATGTACTTAACAGGATATAGGATAAATAATTTCCTATTCTGCACGCAAGTTGGCACAATTTACTCCAGTTTGAGTTAAGGATTTTTTTTATTAAAGGAAGCTTACGCTTGTTTTTGCTCTTGCAAAAAGACCTCTTAAATTAAAGAACAGAGGAAAATATTAAAATACCTTTAAGCAATTCATGATAAAATCATGGTGACTTGCATAGAACAAATCATTCCTTCTAAGTAGGTAACATAAATGATAATAATTGCCTTTTTAAAAAAAAATGCAAAAATAAAAGAAGTTCTATAATCTGACACCCTAGTAATTTAATATTCCACCTCCAGAAAAAAAAAACACAACTTCAAATAAAGTCACTATTACCTATCAAAGGATAAGCTAAAAAGGAATGTCTCAGCCAAGAAATTAAAAATGCAGTTACATGCCCACATCCAATAAAAACCTGCTACATACCTTGATCAATACAACCTTCGGCGAGAGCAAAAAGCTGAGGTGAGCGTTCCTCAAGCAACTGCTGGTGAACATTCACACACCTCAAAGTCCACCAAGGCAAGCTCTAGAAAAAGAAAGCACCATGTATGTTGAAATAAAGGGACACTTTGCAAAATATCTTTTACATTAATTGAAATGATTTTTTTTTTACATTTGTGAAATTGACCTTACTCAATAAGCTTCCCAATCCACTGCTATGTCTTCAGTAATAATACTCAAATCCGCTTCTACATCTTCCACAAGAACATCCCTCTCCTCTGTTCTCTCAAAGCCTGTTCTTTTTAGTCCACTGGGCTTCCTGACACCATTTCAAACTCACCATATCCCCCACTAAAATGTCTGCTGCAACCACACTGTTTTCTGTCAGCACCAACAGTTCCAGAAGGCCTCCCGCAAGAACCTCCTAAGGCAGTGGTTCTCAACCTTCTGGCCCTTTAAATACAGTTCCTCATGTTGTGACCCAACCATAAAATTATTTTTGTTGCTACTTCATAACTGTAATGTTGCTACTGTTATGAATCGTAATGTAAATATCTGATATGCAGGATGGTCTTAGGCAACCCCTGTGAAAGGGTCATTCGACCGCCAAAGGGGTCGCGACCCACAGGTTGAGAACCGCTGTCCTAGGGGGAGCTTGGCCAGTATGGCTCAGTGGATTGAGCATGGTCCCATGCAGCAAGAGGTCACTGGTTCGATTCCCAATCAGGGCACATGCCTGGGTTGCAGGCCCCAGTAGGGGGCTTGCAGGAGGCAGCCGATCGATGTTTCTATCTCTCTCCTTCTCCCTTGCTCTCTTTCTAAAATCAAAAAAAAGAACCTCCAGGGGGGTGTGGGGTGGTCATTTTCCTTCATTTACACTCCCAGCATATACTTGTACCTCCCTTTGCAAGCACACTCCACTGTGATCCTGTATGTCACCCCTAGCTTTCGGTGTTGTCCACCATTTACCCAACAAGATGAGAAATCATGTCTTACTCATCTCTGTATCTTCCCCAAAGCAATGTGTTTTGCACAAACTACCAAGTAAGAAATACACTGGATTCATTCAGATTTTGTCCAAAACCGGGGCGTTCCCTTCCACACGTCTGTGAAACCTCTCCCATGAAGCCCTGTCCCACTAGTGTGACGCACTCTGGGCTCTCACTTCTGAGCTTCTACACTGCTCCTAGAAGTTAGACCACATTGGACAGCTCTTGTTTTTCAAATGTACAACTCTACCTAATCCATACATTTTTTGAGGGTAAAGACTGCATTTTATACATTCTCTTGACTAATTCACAGGCTAAGAACACAGTGGTTTTTTTCTCTCTTCTCTGATGCTTGTTCTTACTTATCAATACATCTTTATTTAAAAAAAGAAAAAGAAAAACAACAAACAACTGGCAATACATAAGCTAACACAGTGAAGAGTGAATATCTCTCTTCTGCTGCCCCAATGCCATCGTTCTTTCTCAGAAAAATCCATGAGAAAGGCTCATATTCTTCTACATCTTCCTCTGAATGTGCGTGTGTGTACAAGTTCCATTTTTTATAGACGCACTAGAGGCCCGGTGCACGAATTTGTGCATGGGTGACAGGTCCCTTGGCCTGGCCAGCAATCAGGGCCAATTGGGGCCGGCAGGCCCAGGGGAGGGACTGCGGGAGGTTGGCCGGCCTTGGGAGGTTGGCTGTGGGAGTGCACTGACCACCAGGGGGCAGCTCCTGCATTGAGCATCTGTCCCCTGGTGGTCAGTGCATGTCATAGTGATCGGTTGACCGGTCATTAGGTCAACTGGTCATAATGGTCACTTAGGCTTTTATATATATAGACTAGAGGCCCGATGCACGAAATTCATGCAAGGGTCTTGGTCCCTACTGCTGCGGTAGCCACCTCTGCCTCAACCCCCACCACACATATACAGATTAAAGTATTAAACATGATCATGCACTAGATCATCTAAATTAAAAGTTATTTTGAATTATATTGTGTAAAGCTGTGAGAAATTAATTTTACTTTTTATAAAAAAGCAATAGCTACTAATGGGAGGTCATGCTTAATTACCAAGTTTTACTTGAACTTAACTTTTGCATTTGATTAAGAGGTAAAACTGCCTGGTTCCCCTTCTAAACTGCTGTACACCACAACAGTTGCAACAATGACACAATGACAAATGAATTTTGACTCTATGACATAATTATTAATGTGGTTTCCTCCTTCCATGTAAGGAAAGATAGAATTATCTAATAGAAAGAAGTTTCACATCATTGTTAATGTAATTCACTGGGTGTTGCCTCATTCTGTTCCTATCAGTAAAGCTAATGAAGTCAGTGTACACATCAATTATTCCTTATCCTCTGTCAGCAATAAGTGAGTCAGGTTTGGCAGCAGAGTCTTTCCTTTTCTACATACGGGAATTTAGATAGATCCAAAGAGACTGCCTTTGTAAGAAAACATACAACGTAACATGCTGAACTCTTAAAAATCAGATCTAGCCCAGCTGGTGTGTGGCTCAGTAGTTGAGCATCGACCTATCAACCAAAAATTCACGGTTTGATTCCCAGTCAGGCACATGCCCTGGTTGCAGGCTAGAATCTCAATGAGACATTGATGTTTCTATCTCTCTCTCCCTCTTTCTTCCTCTCTGAAATAAATAAAAAATATATACATATTTTTTAAATCAGATCTATAAAACTAATTCTTAACCCAAAATCTTTATATAGAAGCGGGGTTGCAAAACAAATAAAGCATAGCTTATGTTCTACTAGAAAATAAAAGTGCCTTTTTCTATTTGCCAAGAATTGCTTAAAAGAACATTTGAGTCATTCAAAATAAGAGAATTTGAAGCCTTCCTTTAGATGGTTTCTAGATCCTGCCTCCTGATTACAGGGCTTACTACAGAATGTTCTGATGGAGAAGTCACACTAGTCAATAACCTCCTAGAAGGCAGGGGCATTCCTGTACTCAAAGGTACCCAATAAATGCTTGCTGACTTACTCCATTTTATCAACAAGGGAACTGGAATTCAGAGAAATTAACTAGCATAAGGTCACACAGTTGTTAAGTGGCTGAGCCAGACAAACTGGTGTGATTTCAAAGCCAGGACTCTTTTCACTCCACATTTACATATTACTAGTATTATGGAATATTTCACAAGTTAGAGGGCAGGGGAAAATCATCATTTACAGTTCCATAAAAGTAATACTGCAATACACAACTTGATACATTTCCAAGGAGCCAACTTATTCAAAATCAATTCAAAAGATTAAAATTAACTTGGATAAGTATGTTGTGCTTTGTAATCATTTTACCTTCATTTATTAAAGTCACTTTTAACATCATCATTTAGAGAGTAATGCATCCAAGACCCAAAGAGAAAAAAACTCGAATGTTTCAACTGAAAGGCCAGGTTTCAGCACAGAATGATCTTTGTTTTGCATAGCGATGTACAACAAGAAAACAGGGTTAAAAGCTGAAGTCAAAGTTAAGCACATGCCAAGAAATTCAGGTAACTTGTCTCTCCAACCCTACCAAGTACGACCACATGTTAACTTGTTCTGCTAGTTGCTGATAGTGCATGTATCTTTATTCAAGTGATGCTTAACAAACTTGCTGATGAAAGTTTTCTACCAACAAAACTTAAAATTATCTCATTCACTCATTAATGACCATTAGTCTCACTAGAAAGAAAATTCTGCCACCTGGTAGCCTCATCCTTGTTGATACTTTCTTCAAAGCCAAGTACATACTACTTAGTCTATAGCAGTGGTCGCCAACCAGTGGTCCACGGATCACTGGTGGTCCGTGAGGTATGAAAGGTTGGTGACCGCTGGTCTATAGGACCATTTAACTCAGATCAACTAGGGAAACATTTTTTAATTCAAACTAATGTCGCTAAGAAAACAATGATAAGACCTTCTATCTGCTAGGACATGTTGAAACACATCAATTAGAAACCCTTCCAGAGCAACTGATTCCAAATAAATCTTTGGCTCTCATGAGACTTGTAGATAGAGCTATCACTTCCCTTCTTGCCTCTTCTCTGTCTAAAACTTAAGTGCTCATGAAAGCAAGCCCTCATACAGTACAAACCAAGTCTACATTTTGCCACAGAAACATTGTGTTTCTTAAAATTTTTCAGCCAACACTTAGAAATTGGGAGACTTCACATAAAACTTAGATTTACTATTGGCAATACAGGGTCTGAGTCCCCAAGCTGCAGCAATCAGAACAGGAGTAAGCAAGATGTAGCCCACGGGCCGAATGCAGCCCACCACCAGCATTTATACAGCCCAAGGAGTCAGAACAGCTTTACACTTTTAAATCATTCCAAAATACAAAAGAAGGATAACATATTGTAACATGTGAAAATATATAAAATTAATTATTTTAATCTTCACCCAAGTTTATGTTTATTGATTTTTTTAGAGAGACGGTAGCAGAGAGAGAGAAAGAGAGAGAGAGAGAGAGAGAGAGAGAGAGAAACATTGTTCAGTTGTCTCCTGTACACACCCCAACTGGCGATGGAAACCACAACCTAGGTATGTGCCCTGACTGGGAATCAAACCTACAGCCTTTGGTGTAGAGAACAACACTCCAATCAACTGAGCCAACTGCTGAGGCTAAAATTAAAAATTTAGTGAACATAAATAAAGCTTTATTGGTACAATACAGTCACACCCATTCGTTCACACAGTGTCCAGCTGCTTTTACACTACAATGCAAAGCTGAATAGTTATAGAGACTCCAGGAGTTAAAACAGCCTGCACAAAGCACAGGTGACACCTCCTCTAAACCTCCAAAGACTTTCTTTGTATTTCTTGTGATTTTGTCGCCTCCTACTACTGCCTGTTTAGCCTTCTGAGTCTTAGTGCTTCTTCTCACTAATTTACACATGACTTAAGGAAACCATGTCAGATTCTCAACAAATGCTCTACTAAACCCAACCCAAATAATGAAAAAAGGCTGGATATGAGCCAGAAAACAGTAACTAAGATCCTCTGAGATCGACAGTGCTAAACTCTGCCTATTGCTCATTATCTTACATGAAATTCATAAAAGACTATGAAGGATGTTTTTAAACCTATATTTCAGATTCAGAGAAGGAACGTTTACATATATGCATACATGTTAAATACACACATATTTACAATCCTATTAAAGAGATTCAAAATAATCTCATTTTATACTAGATGAAAATCATGAGGTGAGAAAGCTTTTGCTTATGTTTATCAGGTTTTAAAATTAAATACCTACAAGGCAACTTAGATAGTAAATATGTTAAGATATCATCAACATCACACCTAAAGTCTGATCTAATCAGCACAAAAGTCACACCTGGGTATGAACCTCCTGGCTCCTTGTCTTCCCTTACCTGAAGTGCTGTCAGTTTATGTCTTACATTCACTAGGATAATGCGTGCTAGTAACAGCAGTATAGGCTTTGAGGTCAGGCTGTAGATTGATTCACCATCAAGAATGAGCAGACTCAGAACAACTGCATCCAGTCCTTTCACCTAAAAAATAAAAATAAAAAAATTGTAATCTAAGAAGATATAATTTAACAAAATATCATTAATCTTTATGTCTTGTAATTACACATATTTTCCAGTTACTCCAGTTCTGAAGCAAATACATTAATCTATTACACAGTAATTGGCGCTGGGCAGAATCATAACATCATAAATGCCCTGAGGGATCTACAAATCCAGCCGGCCCTGACAGAGAGCCAGCCATCTGCTGTGCTTCAGAGGAACAGGGAGCTCAAGACAATACTAATACCGAAGAGGCATCATGACTTTATAGATTTACTTACAACAAAATGTCATCTCAGTAAAAAGCATCCCTAGCCCTAACAGGTTTGGCTCAGGGGATGGAGCGTCGGCCTGTGGACTGAAGGGTCCCAGGTTCGATTCCGGTCAAGGGCATGTACCTTGGTTGAGGGCACATCCCCAGTGGGAGGTGTGCAGGAGGCAGCTGATCGATGTTTCTCTCTCATTGATGTTTCTACCTCTCTATCCCTCTCTCTTCTTCTCTGTAAAAAATCAATTTTTTTTTTTAAAAAAAAGCATCCCTAGTTAAAGTATTGTAAACACATTTCACATATGCTTCATTAGCTGGCAAATGTCATTACAAAGCACGACTGCTCCATAATTTCTATCAAGCCAACAAGGTCTTACATAGCAAGTGCTGAGCAGGCATACAACCAAGGAGCAGAGAACAGAAAGCTGCAAAAAAAAAAAAAAGAAAGAAAGAAAGAAAGAAAGAAAGAAAGAAAAAGTATTGTTTTAAAAAAGCTGCAAAAAAGGGATGCCTGTGAAAACTCCCCCCTTGACTGCACAGATTTCCTAAATGTTTCTAAAATGTGAACTGCACAATTGCGACAGCTTCCACAAAACAGACAGCAGGGATGCTTAACTATTAGGAATATGGGCTCTAATCTCAGAGACACAGGATGGTGTCCTTTGTCTGCTTCTTATCAGTGTGTAGACAGATAAATTTTTTAACTGAAGCCTCAGTTTCATCAATTATAAAATGAAATAATAGAAACTATACCTCATAGAATTCTTATGATAATTATACTGAGAAGTATAATAGAGGAATAAAAACAACATGAATGACTCCCACCAAACCACACATAAAGCTTACTGTTAACTCCACTAAGGACAGAAGGAATTTTTTTTTTTAATTCAATAATTAAGTAACTATTTCGAAGTTATTTCCAACTGCCTCAATTTTAGAAGTGAGGCAACAGATCCAAAAAAGTTAAGTGAAGCCCCAAATCACACAGAACTTAGGGTCTGAATAAAGAGTTATAGTCCAAGTTTTCCAACTCCCAAACCAATGGTTTTCCCACCACATGCTGCCTCCCCAGGGATCTCTCTATCTCTTCCTGCCACTCAGCAAGGTCAGGGCCATGGAAGGCATTAGGAAGGCCTCAAGTTCAGGACCAGGATCACTCCCAGCCTTTGCACTGACACAAGGTCGTAAATTAGAGGCAGGGGAATTTCATCTGGCTTTGGTGACTAGACTCCATGACCACAAAGTATATTCACAAATATTTGTGCATTGCAAGAGCTAAGAAAGATGAATCAGCTTTATATCCCACATATGATTGAAATCATATGGCTCTTGACTTTTTCTATATGACTTACTTCACTTAGCAAAATAAGATCTATAAAATTAAAAGCAACAAATGAACAAACAAGACAAACACACAAAAACCCATGCCACAAATAACAGTATGTGGTTACCAGAGGGAATGGGAGGTGGGAGAGTGTAGAAAAGGGTAAAAAGCGGGTCAGATACACGGTGACAGAAAGAGACTCGACTTTGGGTGGTAAACACACAATGCAATATACAGATGATATATTATAGAATTGTACATTTGAAACCTATATACACACAACTAATTATAATGGCTTTCAGATTATGGCTGCTTTTGTACCTCTTCTCTTTCCACCTCACCACCAAATTACTAAGATTTATCTCAGTAACTCCATTCCATTCATTTGCTATTTCTAATTCTGAGACACCGGGTAACAGTACACAGGCCCCTTTCGCTGCATAAGCTTTGGGTGCCAAGGCTGAGTGGTTAATCACTATGTTCAAGATCTCTGAGGTGGCTGGATAAATCAAAGTTACCACACTTCTTTGGGGAGCATGTCATATTCACCAAGCCCTAGGCATATGTGCTCAAAAATGCCTGAGGAATTCAAACTGCAAGCTCTACTGATGATCTACTGATGCAAGTCATTAACATGGTCTTCATGTACAGATAATAATAATATCAACAGGGAGGCCTCTGTGCCAGGCACTTAAGATAGTATTTGTAAGATAAAGGAACTCACCCCTGGGAACCATTCCTAAGCATTGCAGCAAAACTTACCTGCAACAGATTTCCAGATCTGCTGCTTTGCCAGAAAAGACCGGTATGTAACTATGGTAACATATGCATCTATATATGTGAGCAACTGGTACAGCTGCCTGTGCTTTAAAAAAAGAGCAGCTCACAGAGCTCCAGAAAATGGGGACATCTGAAGAGGAGTTTGAGACTGGCAATGACACTTCTGGAAATACGTCAAAAATCTGATTGAGGAACAAGCATTCTTGGCAGGTTTTGTACACGCTATAAAATCATGTTTCATTCTTACTAATTGGTAACTCCAGTTTCTAGAGATCAGTCCCTGAAGAATAGATCACATAATAATAACTACATATGATGTTTCCAAGAAGCATACCTCACTGAATTGCTGGAATAAAACAGATGGCAAGAATTCCTGAGGATGGAAATCAACCACAGGCCCCGTCCAGTTACTCTGAACAAAGAGTTGCAAACTGCTCACACCAATTAGGAATATCAGTTGTTGTCTGCATATAAGAATAGAGAAATAAATGTGAACCACTGTATAACCACCAACATACTATTTCATTTCAGTTTTATTTCGCAAAATGTAAGATATCAACCAATATATGAGACTATCCGAGAGTATTAAAAAAAAAATTTCTGGCCCGGCCAGCATGGCTCAGTGGTTGAGCATCAACCTATGAACCAGGAGGTCACGGTTCGATTCCCAATCAGGGCACATGCCCGGGGTTGTGAGCTCGATCCCCAGTGAGGGGAATGCAGGAGGCATGCCAATCAATGATTCTCTCTCTCATTATTGATGTTTCTATCTCTCCCTTTCTGGTTCTCTCTAAAATCAATGAAAGTTATTTTTTAGAAGTAAAAATATGATGTAAAATATTATTTAAAGATGAATAATTAAAAGATGAAATCAATAAAAATATTTATTTTTAAAAAATATATTTGATTGATTTTTTACAGAGAGGAAGGAAGAGGGATAGAGAGGTTTTTTTAAAATATATTTTATTGACTTTTTACAGAGAGGAAGGGAGAGGGATAGAGAGTTAGAAACATCAGAGAGAAACATCAATCAGCTGCCTCCTGCACACCTCCAACTGGGGATCTGTCCACAACCAAGGTACATGCCCTTGACCGGAATCGAACCTGGGACCTTTCAGTCCGCAGGCTGGTGCTCTATCCACTGAGCCAAACCGGTTAGGGCTAAAAATATGTATTTTTTTAAAAAGAGCAGCACTAGAGAAAACATGTGACCAAAGAGCCTGCTTCGTTAGAAGTTAGGAAACTTGGGAAAACAGGTGTGTAGCAAGATCTTAAAGCCTTACTACAGCCGTCACAACCAAAAATCTAAATCCCCAAGGCCAACCACAAATACAGTTTAATTTCAAATTCTTCAAAATGAGGCAACTGAAATCTTTCTTCTCAGCTCTACATGACAAGCTGGAATTCTGCTCTCCCAGTGATTAACGTATGTGTGTGTGTGTGTTAATGTGCACCACAAAGCCAGTTTCTATGATACTGGCACATACTTCAGACAGCAAAATAAGAATCAGAATGGCCATTTCAGGAATGTAAACTACCAGTAAACGATAAAAATGAAAAGGAGTGATATTAATCTTTAAAATAAAATAAAATGCCTAGAGTAACATTCTTTTGTGAACTCCCTTATGGATACAAATTATGTCTTATTCCGCTTCACAACTTCAATATTTAGTACAGTAGTCTGATGAAGAAAAAACAAAGCCATTGCCTAGAAATAATGGTAAAACAAAACTGTATGCATATTAAAGAAAATTAAAACTTGATGTGGATGCCAAGAAAATAAAGAAAGAAGTATATTAACAAATTTACAACAGTAAAATTTAGGTTTCACTGCTGTGTAACTATTATAGTTAATCCTATAAAATTATATCAACTTCAGTGGAAGAAGGTAAAACAAGGGTTCCATGATAAATGCATTAAGTTTTCTGATCTCTGGAAAGTTAACAGTCTAAAACATAATAAAAAGTTATTAAGTATCACTCAGCAATCTAGAAATAACAAGATGAACAGGATATGCTTTCAAGTTAAAAGGAAATAAGGTCTGAAGTCTTGCTTATAGGTAAAAACTATCAGACCCAAGCATTTGGAAGCTCAGTGAGTTAGCAGTTACCATCCAATTACATGCCAATTTCATATACAAAACCCTTATATCCTACACCACTTTACTTTTTCATTTTAATGGTCCACTGGACAGAAGGTCTTACATTGATTATTTGGTACATTATGAGCCCTGAATAAATGTAAAGCTGGGTTTTTCAATAACTGCTAAAATCAGTGCCTTACACTGTCAAAGCTCTATTCAATGTATTAAGATGCTCATTCTCTATGAAAACTTCAAATAAAATTCTACCTTTGGGTTTTGTCCAAATCTGGTGAGAAATCCAGGAATGTTAATATCTGCTTCTCTAGGTAGCTGTCAATCTTTTCTTCAGTTATCTTTGTTGAATTAAAAATATTTTGAGTCAATGAATTTAAGAATATGGCCTTATAATTCCCTTCTAGCAGCAATTGTAGGAACGATCCACTCTCTGTAATATAAAAAATTAGATCAATAATCCAAAAGAACAATTTTTTTCATACTGTAAAGGATAATACTATCAAGTAAATCTACCATTTTAGTAGGAAAAAGAGTATATATTTAGAATGCTTGCTGTACATTAATCAAAAAGCACTGGACCAATTCCCATCACCCTACAAACATTACTTCTAGAATTAGCAGCTCATCTATATGAGGAGTAGCAAAGTAGAAGTTAGACCCAGGAATAATATTCCTCATTAATAAGTATTCTCACCCTTCTGCTGGGAATTCAAAAAAAATCCTACTAACAATGGAAAAGTTTCCATAGTCAGAGTTCTAAGACATTTCACAGCCTGGCTCCCCCTACACCCCTCTCCCCTACACTCCCTGAAAAAAAGCTGGTTCACTCATTGCTCCTCTAGTTTCTCATGCACATTCCCGCCTCCATACTCTTACGCTTGTGATTTCTCCTGCTCAGCTCTTCTCCACCTGTCAGTCTTATCCTTTAATCAAAAATCAGCTCAAGTCTGACTTCCTCCCATGAAACTGTTCCAGACAAGACTTCACAAACTACCTATCCTGAGGTACCTATTTTGTGTGTACACACACGCACACCACTTATATACTGTCATAAATGTGATTTCTCTTCTGGGTCCAGCCTAAATACCACAATCAGATGTGCCTATATCCCGCAAGTATATGTGCCTTTTAATTCTTTACCTCTCGGTTAAATGTGCATTGCTCAGAAGAATCACAGCTTTTCCGCTTACGAGCTGAGCAACCTTGAATACATTACTTAACCAATCAGTAGTTAAATGCCTTCATCCGCAAATTTAAAGTAGCATCTACCTTTCGTGTCTATTATAAAGATCAAACAACTAGGAAAAAAAGAAAACAAACAAGCAAAAAAAGACCAAACGACTAAATAAATGTCAGAAAAGTAGCGGATGTTGCCATTGTTATCATTTCTGAACCTGGGCGGTGAGAAGTTTGGGGGGAAGACAAGCACGGAGGCTGAGGACACGCCCACCATGTCAAGTATGCAACAACCCAGAGCCTTAAGAAATCAGCAAGATTTTGGTAGGAAAATGAAATCAAACAAGGAGGGATAAGAACCCAGACACTGCCACCCCTTCTCCTCACAGTCCGACGCTGGCCCGAGCCCCTGGCACGTGCGCCTCGCTCACCTGAGCCGGCGACTGCCTCCTGCTTCCATTGCTGCCGCTCAGCCTCAGTGGGGAAGCCCCTCAAAACTGCCAGCTCCGGGGTCCACATCACCCCGGACGTCGCCCCAGCCAAAACCGGGTCCCAAAACGGTCACACGGAAGTCACACAATAAAGTGAAAAGAGGAAGGTCCAGAGACGCCGAAGTCTAGTGGCGACAGTTCTTGTGGAACCCCATGTGCTAATAAAGGCCCAGGGAGGCGGCCATAACAGCAGCGCGGGGCATCCTGGGAAAACAGACACTGCACCAGCTTCCGCCTAGAAAACCAACCCAAAGGCCCTGATACTGAGCATGCCCAGTGGAGGTGCCCCGCCCCGAGCGGGGAATGGACGCGATTGGAGGCGTGGAGTCCTCGGCGCCGCTGCCGCAGGAGTGCGGCGTTCCGGTCCAACCCACCTTCGTTGGAAGGTCTGCGGCTTTAATTCCCAAACCTGCTTGGGTGTGAACCCTCCTCACTACCTGATGGAAGGCGTAGTTCTTTCCGCAAAGGGCACGTGGGCCTTTACTACCAGCAGTTGGGTACCGTCAATGGAAGTGAGAGACCCTGTGGAGTCCCTAAACCCCGGGTTAAGAACCCCGGCCGCAGAAAAAAAGTCTTTATATTCTTTTAATGAATTAAAGTGTAAGGAAAGCATTCGGTGTTGACGTTGCCACTACATAAATTATGCCCGAATGGGGACATCTGGCCCGCGCTGATGCAGGGAAGTTTTTGGAGGGTGTACTGCACGCAGCAGAAACCTGCCAGCCTTCGTGCCTGCGCTGAGCACAGGGCGCCTTTATTCTTCACAGCAGTGCCCTAGGTCAGTGGTTCTCAACCTTGGCTGCACATTAGAATCACCTGGGAATCTTTTTAAAATCCTGATTTCCGGGCCTCATCCTCCGGAAATTGTTTCTTTGCGACTAATGTTGTGGCCCCACCTCACATTAGTAACAAAGAATTTCCGGAGGATGAGGCCCGGAAATCAGGATTTTAAAAAGATTCCCAGGTGATTCTAATGTGCAGCCAAGGTTGAGAACCACTGCTCTAGGTGAAAACCAAGCTCTGAGGCCGGGATGTGGCAGACGGGACTGTGCCCCTCCCCCCACCCTCACTCCCACCCCAATGGACTTAGACGAGCCTGCACTGAGGATGCCGTACACCACCAGGAGAAACCTGCAGGGTAAGCCTCACCACACAGGGTTCATGGAAGAATTTAGGGCAATACATCTCTGAAACGATCCCACTCCCAAGGAGGAAGAAAAAAATTCTCCAACATTTACAGGGAACTCCTACAACTTAACAAAAGAAAAATAAACAACCCAATCAAAAAATGGGAAACGGAATTAAATACTTTTCGAAAGAAGACAGAAGGAAGGCCAAGAGACATATGAAAACATGCTCTAAGTCACTAATCATCCGAGAGATACAAATCAAAACGACAATGCCGTAACATCTCACTCCTGTCAGAATGGCTATCATCAAATCAACAAACAAGTGCTGGTGAGGATGCGGAGAAAAAGGAACCCTTGTGCACTGCTGATGGGAATGCAGACTGGTGCAGCCACTGTGAACAGATGGAGTTTCCTCAAAAAACTAAAAATGGAACTCCCATTTGACCCAGTGATCCCACTTCTAGGAATATATCCCAAGAAACTAGAAACACCAGTCAGAAAGGATATATGCACCCCTATGTTCATAGCAGCACAATTCACCATAGCTGAGATTTGGAAACAGCCTAAGTGCCCATCAGTAGATGAGTGGATTAGAAAACTGTGGTACATCTACACAATGTAATACTATGCTGCGGTAAAAAAGGAATTCTTACCATTTGCAACAGCATGGATGGAACTGGAGAGCATTATGCTAAGCAATAAGCCAGTCAGAGAAAGATAAGTATCACATGATCTCACTCATTTATGGAATATAATGAACATAAACTGATGAACAAAAACAGATCCAGGGACAGAGAAGCATCGATCAGACCCTCAAACCTCAGAGGGAAGGTAGGGGAGGGTGGGGGTAAGGGGGAGAGATCAACTAAAGGACTTGTATGTATGCATTTAACCCTAACCAATGTAAAACCTTAATAAAGAAATTTAAAATAATAAAAGAAATTGTAAAAAAATAAAAAATGTATCCCCCTCAACCCCATCCTCACTATCATGGCTCAGTGGTTGAGCCCTGACCTTGAGGTTGCAGGCTCCATCCCTAGTGCCGGACATGCAAGAGGCAGCTGATCAATGATTCTCTCATCACTGATGTTTCCATCTCGCTCCCTCTCCCTCCCTTTCTGAAATCAATAAATATATATATATTTTTAAAGTCCAATAGTATCTAACGTGGTGCCATTAACTTGAGCTCTCCTTTTGCTCTCTCGTGCCTGGAACAACTTCTTTCTCCCTGACTAATTTCTTTATTCTCACCACTCAAGACTCTGGATATGTTTCTTCAGGAAGTGTTCTCTGACCATATCACCTTAGTGATTTACCTGAGGTAGGTGTCCCTCGTCTGTGCTCCCAACAGTACCTGCAACTAACACCATCAGAGAACTTACCGTGTTGCACTAACATTGTATTTTCATGTCATTCAACTCTCACCTGCAGGAACCTGTACTATGTACATGAATTGGACCTTACAGTACTGGTACTGTTACTTTCCTTTTTGTAAAATAGCATTCTGAGGACTAATGGTATAGAGTGGAGAAAATGACCGAAGCTTATTTTAATGATGAAGATCCAAAATTGGAGGAAAATACATTTAACAGCAACTTTTATTCTCCACCCTGATGGGACCCTGTCAGACCAAACAGTAACAAAAGCTAAAGGATTGACTGTTCTTTTACCTTTTATTGCTGATAATTTTATACTGAGATTTTAGCTATCATGTCTGTGGTAAATGACTTTTTATAAATGGACTCTATTTTGTCATTCTTGGAATTCACCACCCACCAGACTTAACACAAACTCCATACTGTGTTTCAGAACCTTTGATTTCCTGGTCACATACTGTTTGTCCCTCCTTTATCCATGCTTAAGGTGCTCTGTACCTTGTAGTTCCCCTTCTTTCAGAGAGCAACTCATGTTCAGAATATGTCTTCTAGTCAGCTCCAGATTCAGGGTTCCCATGTACCACTTTATTTTCTATAAATACTGTCAAAAATCACCTTAGCTTTTCCTTTGTGATAATTGGTCTTATAAAAATATCCTTTCCTTTCCCATGCTTAGGTCTTGAAAATGTCCAATTCTTTGTGTCCAAGTATTTCACACACAGCAAACTGTTTTTAGAAATAAGACATACTAGCACACCTAAGTCTTTATTTATTTGGCTCTAGGAAGAGTTTGCATGAAAATGAGCCTATATGGCAAGTACAGAATGTACTGTAACAGCACCAGAGAGGTACCACCTCTCTGTTCTACAGAGCCTGTGTTTAATGCATACAGGTAACTTTAGTAATAAAACCAGAGTCCAGGAAGAAAAGGAGCCCTTTAGGAAAAAAATCAGTTTAAGGGTGACTTTTCAAATTGACCATTCCTTTCATATACTTAAATTCAAATAACAAATACATTCACAAGCCCAAATATTGGCATAGAATAAAATCATGTTCATTTATTTTTCTGCAATTAGAAGGCATAAAATTAAATATGTTGAATGTAATAAATTCATCCATACAAGTGCAAGTGTCCAACTATAACACATTTTTATGGCAGATTTATAATTTAAAAAATGTACCAGTAAATCAAAAAAGGAGTATGTAAATTAACTTTTATTGAAGTGTACGTAGGTCTTCAGAAATCAAATATGAGCATGAAGATATGGCCAAACATAAAATCTATCAAATTCAGTGAAAAGTTGCTGACTTCAAATAGTAGTTGTAAGAATGACCAATATATATTCTTTGTTAACAATCTCTCACTCTACAGTAAAAAAAAAAATAAAATAAACATTCAGTAAACATTCTTTCCTAAGGTAGTTTCCCTTATATATCAGTGATTTATCCATTCTTTGTATACACAAATTTGTTCAACATACCAATCAGTGGTTCTCACAATTGAAAAATAAAAGCACAAAAAAGTTTACACTCTTGTACAGGTAAATAAAAGATCACCTTGAATTAAACTGGATCTCCGTAAGGGCATAGTATAGTTTCAGTTTCATTACCTATTACATAATTAGTTTCTTACATACAAATATTGACATATTTGGCTTGTGCTTCAAAGCCTTTGTGTCTATGAAGTCCATGTCAATGCAGCTCATAATTTGAAGTCACTGGGGAGTTCTTTACTGCTGCAGGGTTTGACCTGATCGTGCATGAGCGTCCCCTCAGCACCTGCTGTGGCACTGCACATTTCCGAGGCATCTTCAACATCAGGGTCCAAGCCGTCAGGACAAGGAAGTTTTAGCAGCTCTTCCCGGAGCTGAGCAGTGTGACGCTACACAGGGAAATGAGTGATGTCAGAATTGCAAACGCAGGGATTCTAACACAGTATCATTTGAGGGAACAGTTAAGTTTAAAAAAAAAAATCCAAAGCACAGGCCAACAAATACTTATTGAGCACTTTTCTTACGCTACTGTCACAGAGAGGGGACAAAGTTGGCAAAACATCTCTCAGAGTGATTAATGTTGAAAAGCCCTGAGTAGCATGGTAGAATGAAAGTTAAATGGCAAAAGGTTAGTGAGATGGTGGGGTTTTACAATGGAGGCAGAAGTACTCATTGCTCTAGTTTGGTAAAAAGAGAAACAGTTCTATAATAATGGGGCAAAATAAAACTAGTTTGGGGGATGCAAGTGTTAAAGAGGAAAATAATTTTCTTTTTAGAAGTTTTTAAAATAGAAAAATAGAGTTAGAACAGAAGGAGCCAGTTGAGATGGAGAAAATTGAAGATAGGAAGAGGGAAGATAACTGGTGGAGGATGAAAGAAACGGGGAATAAGAACAGATATTATGAGGCAGGAGAAAAAAAATCTCCAAAACCATCCTGTTTTACATTTCCACTTCATGAATGCCCAGGTTGAAAACAATTGCTCACCTCCCCCAAAACAGGTCTGTGTAACAGATGCCTCCACCAATTAGCTGTTGGAGGCTCTACAGCTACCATCTCCCTCATTACTCCAAGTAATAAAATTCTGGAAGGTAAGAGGCCTAAGGAAAAGCTAAAGGAATAAAAAATTCACTTATAGAGTACATTTTGTTGTCATCACCTAGATAAAACACAGGTCCTGTACCCATTTTTTTATTTTAGGAACTGTTGATTTATTGTGGAAACTAAC